GAAAGAGATGGATGGAAGAACAGTGAGAGTCAAAAATATTCATAGGTAAAGCAAATATGGAATGTCTTTTGTATTTTCATGGAGCTGCAGGAAAAGCTGTAAAGCCTAAATCCCTTTGAATTGTGAATTACTTTCAAATCACTCAGGTGATTCTGATAACTTTATCCCCCATATAAACAGATGAAGAGGTATGGAAATATTATTTATTCCCTGATTGTTTTGCATATTTTAGTGCCAAATCCAGCTTGCTGTCCTAATATGAGTAATTCCTCTGCCTTCAATTCATTTGCTTAAGACAACAATAATTTAGGATTAGAAAGAAGACAAATAATATGGGCAATAAAATAAACATAGTGTAAACTATTTGAGTAAAACAACCTGAGGCTCCAACAATACCTGGGCCAAGTTAATTTCTTTATAATACGCTGCCAGTGTAGATAAATCACCTTATTACAAACACCAAAGGCTTGGGTCACACAAATTAGTTCTGTGTTTCACCTGTAACACTAGCTTCAGTTTATTATTTTATAAATATATGGATATAAATAATTATACTCTTTTCTCAAAAGATATCGCTTGCTTTTGAAGTGCTCCTGGAGAACAGCTCTATTTGAGCTGATCGAGTATTACATGAATACGCCAAACCCCACTCTTTTAAAAAAAATACCTTTATTTTAAACATGAGTGCTGTAGTTGGACGTTAGTATCAGTTGCACAATTGTAGCAATTTTGCTTTTTCTTTCGTATTTATATTTGTCAGTAAGTAGTAATCAGTGCTTCTGATGCTCAGTGTCACCAGTATGACAGCAGTAAGAGAAATCGAGTTAAATGGAAAAAGGAAAATGCTAAAAGGAAACAGGAGGAATTCTCCTGGGCAATACTCAGAAGCACATTGATTTGCTCACTGAATATGATCATACACATTAATTCTCAGTTCCCTGGAATTCCACCCTAAGAGTCTGTTAACCACAAAGACTGAGCTAGCGCCGTATAATTTAAAATACTATGAAAATGTACTTGAGGACTATTAGGAAGGCAAAATGGAGTTTTGGTCTTGCTTAATATTCTGTGGTTAAAGTAAGGGGAAATCATAGTTCCTTAAAGAAGGATGAACTGGTAGAATGGCCAGCAGGTCCAGTTGTCCCTGAACGCAGGAATTCCACACCTGCATAAGGTATCGTTATTAGGTTAACCTGTGAATGATATTAACCTCTATAAAATGGCCATTTAACCAAAAGGGACTGACCCATCATGTGTGGGTAGTCCCCTTTTTCCACTAAGTTCTTTGTTTGCCTCTTTAAAGCTAGTCTGTGGCATAGTAAAGAGGGAGAGTTTAGAGAGTTCTCTGTTCTATTTGAAAATAAAGCAAAAAATATTGCAGTACAAACATTAGACAAAAGCTGGATTTATCTTCACTCCGTACGAGAAAGGGATTTTACAAATACAGTCAGTTCTTTTCAGGTACTGAGAAAAAGGCCAGTTTTGAACTTCTGAGTCCATCTGTAGATTGGGCTACCTATTCTGATGCCTAAATAAAAAGTATAGCTCTTCTGATAATCTAGCCTTGGGTGAACTTTATACTTGAAGTGAAAGTAGTTTTAACTTGTAGCCCAATTCTGAAGGAATCCCTGGGGTCTTACCCTTATCTAGACCTTTAGGACAGCCAGGTCTTAAACAAGTAGCAAGGTGGAGAAAAATAAATCTGATTTGAAAATGCACTAGAGTATTTTTTTATTTTTTCTAATATTTTGAAATGTTTTTGATGATTCTCAGCATTGGCTGTCCTTTGAATGGACAGATGTTTCTTCACTGAAGCTGGTGAAACTTGTGAAATCCAAATGCAAACCAAGACTTGAGAAAGGGAAAAAAGCCAAACCACAAATTCTTTTACTGCAGTAACCTCTGTGAAATCTCTGCAGTACATTTATTTGTTTATAATACAAATACAAGCTTGAAGCCTGTATTTGTATCATCTAAGTACACTAATTAATCTTATTCACATGGGCAAGAACAATGGGAGTCCAAAAGTGAACAGGGATAATATTAAGAAACAAGACTTACAAAATCCATCACCAATAAAGACTATCTGTCTCCAGTATGAGGCCCCAGTATTGTTAATTTCAAGGTCATTTCATGAAACATGCTTTCCCCAATTTACTTACTAGGATTTTACATAGAATAGCAATCCTATACTATTAGTTTTACAAGTTCATTCCATGCAGGTATCAAATAATTTCTTTATGAGAAGGCTTTCTGCTTTACTTTCTTTTTTTTTTTTCTTTTTTAATTTTATTTTATAATAGCTTACAGGTTTCTGAACAGTTTAAGACAAGAATGCTCCAGTGATACAATTGCTGTAATTAAAGACCATTTAAAAATAACTTGTACTCTGCCTCCTGGACCTTTGTTAAAACTTTCCAAGGAAACATTTTGGTGAGTGGTATACTTACAATCCAACTGATTGTTCTCACCCTTTAAAAACAAAATTTGCCTAGAAAATTAAGTAGTGTCTATCAAGTTGCTTTGCACAACTCACTGCTAAACAAAGTTTTTGAAACACCATTTGTTTAAAATTTCTGTGCCTCAAACAGAAGGACTGAGGGGAAATAAGGACACCCAGAACCTCTTGCAGGTGCTCTGCATTTCTCTGAATCAATCCCATGTTTTGTAAAAGCAATGCTAGATGTATTCAAATTTAGGGCACTGTTAAATCTTCCAGATAAATAATCCTCCTTTGAAATAGTGCCAATGAGAGCACTGCAATATAGCTTAATAGAAGATAGTATTTGTGGGGCATTAAAGGCATATACTTAAATTCTTGCAAGTCAAACATCAAACCAGGCAGCATGCAGAAAAAAATGAGGATCTGATCCAAAGCTGAGCAACATCTACACCCATTAATGACAATGTGTCTATAGATTACTCCCTACAGAGTAATCAATACGGGCTTTTCCTGAATCACTGAACACTTTCCACACCTCTGGGCGAAATCCTGCTCACATGACATGAAAAACACCATGAGATCCAAAATCAGTAGTATGAGGGTTGTATAGGCAGCCTGACATCTGCAGAAAGCAAGAAGGATTTGGCCCAAACGTTCCTGTTAATGCATGTAGAAATTACCACATTCGGAGGTTAATCAAATAATCAGTTTTCAAATGCAAATCAGAGACCATAGAAAATGCAAGCAACACCAAACAATGAGAAATGGCAAGATCCCAAAACACCATCCATTCCTTCTACACGATGTGAGAAAGTATTAGCATAATTCAGTATGACATCCATATCAGATGTTGGCAATCACCTACAGAACATCAGACACTTTCATGCACAGTCTGGAAACAAGCGGGGAGAAAAAGCAAAAACAACAACAAAAAAAAGAGAGTGTGACTTGCACCACGATTGCCCTCACCCAGCCTACTCCTTCTCCTGAGGATGCACATGTCTTTCAAATGTCTGCATGAGTCATGTGCATGTAGGGAGAGAAGAGTTCACTTTTGGTGAATGTATTTTGTTAATACCCACTGAGACGTGGGGCAGAAAAGGGTTTAATAGCATGTTGGCAAACTTGAATGGTTGTCAGCATTCCTGTAGACCATCTTTGTGCGGAAATGTGACTGTCATGTCAGTCTCCAAGGAAAACACAAATTTCTCACCCCTGGGATAGTTACTTAAGTGATTTACCCATCAGAAGTATGACATTTATCTCTCTGCAGGAGGGCTTCAGTGAGATTGAAGCAGTGAATGAGGGTCCGTCTCCTCCACACAGTCTTAATTCTTGTGCTCCGAGTTCTGTTCTGGCTATCAGTAAAGTACCAGATAACATTCACAGCACTATTTATAGCCTTTTGACTCACACTAACTTAAACAGGAGCTGGATGAGGCCCCAAAGTGCCTTGGCCCAATTTTCTATGAGGTCACCTTTCACTGGTATCCTGTCATTTTATGTGAGATGTCCATGACGTACATGCCAGTTTAAGAAAGAGCAGTGGAGCTTCTCTGAGTACATGGATTTCACAAAATCCTGGCGATGATGATGGCCTGCATTTTACAGGTTTTTGATAGGGGAGGCATAGGAGTATGTACCTCAGAACTTTGTATTACCTCAATTAGTAGTTATCAAAAACATTGGTGATTTACATGCAGGTAAACTATGATTCAGACCTTCTATTGTCATGGGAAGGGATCCTACTGAGCACAAGGGGACTCAGATATGCTGGCAACGGGAGACAAATGAGTGACTTCAGTGGGTTCTGCTGCTGCTGACCATGGTTCCCATCTAGACTGCAAACAAATGAATCCAGTTGCCATGGTAACGTGCAAGATGCTAATTAATAAATAAAATCACAGAGAGTTCAAGATTTTATGCTCCCATAGAGAAAATGATACTTATTTCTAAGCACCTGAACATAAGTGATATATGAAGAAATTAAAAACTTTTTTCTTTTAATGAGTCTGGATAAACAGATATCCAGCTACTGTACAAAGCTTACTTTCTCTTGGTAACATAGGCAACGGGCAAACAGAAAGAAATGGGTGTGTTTAGTGCAGAAAAGGGAAAATTGAGGGGATCCATGAAGGATGTTGCTGAATCTCCATCCGAATCGGTCCTCCCAGGGCAAATCATCTAATGGCAAGAGAAATGAGGTGCTGGAACAGACTTCTCAGGAAGATCCTGAGACCTCCATCTTTGAAGGATTGTTAGAACGAGTCAGGCAATAAATATCATGCCAGGTCTGAGGTATACTAAACACAGCCTTAGGCCAGGGGAATGGATTCTGTGAGTTTAGATCTTGTTGAATCCTGAGCGTTCATGTCCCCTAAACATCCCTGTGCCTGCTTGCGCACTTAGAGCCAAGCATTAAAGGTAGGGTGAGATTTTTAAAAGCACTAATTGTTAGCTTTACTGACTCCCTCTGGAGTCAATAGTGAAACTCATTGATTTCCAGTGAAGCAGAATGCCTTTGAAAACCAGCCTCTAAGTGCTTTGCTGGACAGCAGCCTTACACCACGGAGGAGCTGGCCTGTTACTTTCGGTAAGCAATTTCACTGAGCATGCTGAGGCCAAGTATGTTTGTGCAAATACAACTACCTGATGGAAAAGCCTGATCAATTTTATTGAGAAAAAGCTTAGAAATCTGAAAAGGAGAATACATCTCAGCATTTTTCACCTAAGATGCAAAAGAGAAAGCAAAAATAACAAACTTCTCCCCTTTCTAGCAGTTGAACCCAAAAATCTCATGAAAGATATTAGTGTTCATCATCTTTTCATTTTTTAAGCCTATTGTGGAAAAATATTTCATCTCACCATAAGCCTATGTTATTACTAAAAACTGAGACTGATCTCCAAATAAATCACAGCATCATGCCTAATGTTTCTTTTAGAATATATGTGGCTAACTGAAAAATGAACTCATTCCTCTGAAATTATCTTTTAGCATTAAAACCAAACTTAGCTGTGTTTTACAGGTAGCTAGGTGTTCTGGGGCACTTTGTAGCTCTTCACATCTGTAATTTAAATACACTCAGGGCACAGGTAATCTTGACAACAAAATCTAAGGCTGGATATTCTATTAGCATAACTTCATGCAGTTATGTCAGCAAATAATTTAGTTACTAGTGCCTAAAAATGTAGTTATCAAAGAACTAACCACATAGTCAGAAAGAAAAAAAAAAAAAAAAAAAGAGAATGTGAGTTATTATGTATTGCTTTAATAAATAATAATCCTCTCTTTTTTTTCTTCCTATTAACAGACAAACATAAAAACTCAGTGTTTGATACCACTGAAGGGCTTTGGTGTATTTTTAAAGTAAGTATTTCTGAATTTCAACTCTTTTTTTTTTTTTTTTTTTTTTAATGAAAACCAGCCAAAATTTATCATTTGATGCGAAAGAAGGTTCAGATCCAACTCTGATATAGGACAGCATAAATCGCTATGTATATAAATTGACAGGCTCTGCTCTGAAGAGGCTTAAGCTTAAGACAAGATGGAAAGTGAAAGGTGTCCCCTGGAGATGGCTGTCCCTCCAAGTTAATCTTTGAATTGCTAGCAAAGGAAACCAGGAAACCCTGGTTTTCATTCTGATTAGCCATTACTATCCCACATGATCTGTAAAACTGTGCCCAACTTTCTGTTTCCCAAGGAAAAAAAAGAAAATCCTTTCACAATGGAAATTTGATCAGAGAGAAACCCTCTCTGCTAACAGATTATTCTTTGTAAACTTGAAGTGAAAAACTAAGACAGGAACTGATTTCAAGGAATACCAGACCTAATGAATGAACATCTTAAAAGTATTCTTTAAAAGTTGTATTTTGACATACACTTTCAATGAAAAGTACCTTGCTCTTTCAGTAATTTCACTGATTTTTGTTACTTTGATGTTGGAATGAGGAAGTAAGCCCTACAACACCTCAGTTCCAGAATTCCCATTTCTAGTTTATACTCCATGTGTGTGCTGGTGTTAATACATGTCCCTGTAAGTTTACCCCACTGAATTAGTTTAGATTTATACTACAGTGTAGATGTGCATAATAAAGGTTGGAAAAGCCTTCCTAACTTTAAAGAGCTATGTGTGAGATTCTGAGCAGGTCTCTTGACGTTTTGAATATTTTTGACATGTAATTGCCAACATCTGTTCAGGATTATCACCGATAGGATCTACCATGCATGTTTTTTGCTATCTTCTCTACCTTGTCATGCAGGTTGGAGATGTTAAACACTGAGGCTGAATGAGACCTGTCCATAGATAATGCTTGGCAAGAAAGTATTGCCACATAGTTAGTCCTCAACGGACTCATCTCTGCATGAATTACTTAATAGTAGATATTATTTATTAGTTTAAGAAAAACTAACAAGGGAGATAAAAAGCTATGAAAAAGCTATTAGATCTGTGGTAAAATACTGATT